CAAAGTTAGAAGATTTTTCAGTTCGAGGTATAAGTTCTATACACCTTCTCCAAACTTCTATTCTATCTTCACTGGATATAAATATGAACAAGTAGAATGGAAAAATATTATAGAAGCTTGTTAGACCATGTCAAAGAAATTATATGCAATGGAAACGAAAAGGTTTATGAGTATATCTTATGTTGGTTTGCAAACATCTTACAACATCCAAGTGCTAAAAATGAAACTGCTCTCATTATAATTGGAAAACAAGGAACAGGTAAGAACACATTCTTTACAGATATTTTGTGCAAACTGTTAGAAGGTTATTCGAATCCGAATATGACAAACTTAGAAAACATCTGTGGCAAGTTTAACTCCTCAATAGAGAATATGAAACTTATAGTTTGCAATGAACTTCAAAGTATAGATACAACAAAAGTTTTGAACTCAGATGCTTTGAAGAGTCTTATAACAGACAAAGTTGGAGTTGTTGAAAGAAAGTATAAAGACCAAAGAGTTTGTGAAAATGTTGCAAACTTCATTATGGTTTCAAACAATGCTGTTCCGATGAAGTTAGAAAGTTCTGACAGAAGATATGTAGTTGTCAGAACGTCAGATTCTCATATGCAAGATACAGAATATTTTGACGACTTAGCAGAAATTTGACATCTGACTTTTACAACCACTTGTTCTCATATTTCATGACATTAGATATTTCTAAGTTCAATCCAAGAACAATTCCACATACCGAAGAGAGACAAACATTGTTAGAAGCAAACAGAGTGTATATGAACTGTTCATAGATGAAACTGACTTTGTGTCATTAAGATGAAAGTTCTTTATATAATAAATAAACAATATTGTCAAGAATATGGTTATATGGCAGCTTCTAAACGAACATTCTTGGCAAATGTCAAAAGTCTTTTAGATGTTCAGAATGGTGTATATACAAAGAAAATTTTTCTGAGTAAATTTTAAAAAAAAATATTTTTTTATCCGATAGAAAAGATGACGAAAATTCATTTCAGTAAACAAGTACATGTCAGGACTTAAAGAAGAACTAGACCCATTCACATATTTGAATGTTTACTTCTACCATTTTGAAAAGTCTTCATTCAGCAAAGTTTGGAACATCGAACCAGTTAAGTTTGCTATTGTGACTAAAAATGGTGCGAAATTTGAAGACTTAGACATAGAAGGTTTGTTAACAGTCAAAGAAAGTTTTGACAGAAGGTTCTCAAACCTTAAAGAAGGCAAGCATACAAACTTGTTATACCTTATGAACCAAAGAAGACAGACGACTATGAATATTATGAGTCTAAAGTTGTAGAATTCAAGGTAAATTGGGTAAAAAGTATTAGAGTCTAAGCCAGTGTTTACTCCTAAAGAGGAAGAGAACATTGACATTGACCCAGAAATGTTCTAAAAATAAAATTTATTTTTACATGTCAAATTTCTTTTTCTCTGGAACTGGTTCAGGTTCTTTCTTCTCTTCTATCTTTTTTCTCTTCTTTTCTTCTTCTTCTTCTTCTCTGGTGAGTTATGTCAAATTTCTCAGACTTAATTTATGTAAAAGTTCTTTGTCCTTTAATAGCTCTTCTATTCTGTTTTCTATTTCATCTTCAAGAACAGCGCATGTGTCTTCTTTGCATTCTAAGAACTTTTGTTGGACTTCATCTTTCCAAAGAGCGTCATCTCTGTCAACAAGTCTGTCATTGACAAATTTTAAGACTGCTCTTTGTAATGTTTTATGGTTCTTGTCATATTCCAGAAACAGAACTTTAGAACAAATTCACCTTTCTTGTTTACACTATGTAAGATTTTATGGTCGACAGATGTTTTGCTGTCAAAAAGTTTGTCTCGAATATAGATAGCGAAATCGCTAGACATTTTCTAAAGATAAAAATTTTAATTTTTCTAAAAATATGTTAGAAAAAAGTTTGCTGATATTGCAAAGAAATTTGAGAATGTTTTAAACAAGAACAAGAGGAAGTTAGAAAATGCTCAGATAAACCTATACATGACAAGTTCTTATTTGCTCAGAATGGTATAACAGGTCTAATTGCACCACCTGGGTCGGTAAGACTTTCACTTATCTTAAAATGGCTGCACAAACAACAAGAACTAGATGAGAAAGAACCCATTCTATGAGTTAGTTGTTATTTGTTCGACTTCTGGTCAATTTGACCAAACCGTCAATTCGTTCAAAGATATTATAAAGAAGTCTAAGTTAGTATGTATAAAGGATACTGAGTTGTAGATTGGATAAAGAAGTACCAAAGAAGAGTTTTGAAGTATAATGCTATAAATGAGTATATAAATTCTAAGTTAAAGACCCTAATGAGGAAATGCAGAGAATATTAGAGAAGAAACACTTCAGAAACAAACAGAAAGAGATAGAATACATTTCGAAGAAATTGCAATCTACGATTGGAAAATCTACCTCATAGTGTCTTCTTATCTTAGATGATTGCCTTCATCCTTTGTTAAAGAACAAGAGAACAAGATATGTGTCGAATTCTTAAGAAGCTCAGACACTTTAACATCTCAGTCGTAATTGTGTACAGACAGCAAAGAGTTTAAGTAAGGATGTTAAAGATACTTAC